CCCACATCTCCATCAGCGCCTTGGACCGGCTACAGGCCATCGCATATCTCCGTCATATCTCCCCCCATCTCCCCCCATCTCCCCCCATCTCCCTCAGCGCGTTGGACCGGCTGCAGGCCATCGGCGGGAAGGTGGTGGTGCTGACCGCGCCGCGCGAGCGCCGCGCCGCCTCCGCCAAGCAGCACCGCGACCGCTCCGACCGAAGCACGTCGAGCCGCACCGCGCTGCCGCTGGGCGAGAGCGGGCCGGGGCGCTCGCCGTCTCTGGAGCTCGTGCTCACCGAGATTACCCGAGATTACCCGAGATTACCCGAGGTTAGGCGCTGGACGTCTCTGGAGCTCGTGCTCACCGAGAGCCAGGTGCAGACACTCTCGACGCAGGAGGCGCGTCTGCGCCGCGAGAGCGGCTGCCAGGCGAAGCGATTGGCCTCCTCGCCCTCTCAGCCGTGGGGGGGGGAATCAACGAGCTGAGGCGTGCGAGGGCGGGTGGTAGGCTGTCCAGTTCAACTCGTCCGTCTCGAAGCGCTGGGGCGCGCGCAAGACGCTGTTCGCGCGCGGCACCGGTAGACAGCTCGAGAAGCTCAACGAGAGGACGCGAGAGGACCCGAGGTGACCCGAGAGGACCCGAGGTGAGCCGAGATTAGGTCAACAGCTCGAGAAGCTCAACGAGCTGGCGCAGCGCAGCCTCGACGACTCGCTCGAGCACTTTCGCGAGAAGAGGCAGTGCAACGGGCTCAAGCCGTCGGCGCAGCACTCCCTCTCCTGCCGCTCGAGATGGCCCGAGATGACCCGAGATTGGCCGAGATTAGGCGCAGTACGTGCCTCTGCTGCCGCTCGAGGCTGTGGAGGGCGACCGCAGCCGCGCGGCTTGCGATCTCAGGCCGCGAGTGCCGCTCGGCAACTTCCCCGCTCGAAGAGGCGACGGTCGTCCAGCACACGTCCACGACATGTCCGCGACATGTCCGCACAGGCATCTACCCGCTCGAGGACGGGGACTGGCAGTGCGCAGACTGCGGCACGTGGGCCTTCGCGCGCAAGCCGTGCATCTCGCGGATCTGCTCGGAGGCACGCGCCGCCAAGGGGCAGAAGATCCCGACCTCGCAGGAGCTGCGCTCGCACGGCATCTGCCAAGACTTCTTCTACACGGGCGGCTGCGGCCGGCCCGCCACGTGCACGCTCAAGCATGTCGACGGGAACGTGGAGCGGCGGGTGGCGCGCTGGGGGGGCGGGCCGGGCGCGTCGACGCTGCCGCCTGCGCCGCCGCCGCCGCCGCCGCCGCCGGGCGGGGGGGAGGAGGGTCGGCATGCGCGGGTGACGTCCATCCCGACTGAGCTGGCCGCGGGGCTGATTGGGAGGCAGGGCGCCGCAATCTCGCGCATGCAGGAGGGCTATCTCCCCACATCTCCCCACATCTCCCCACATCTCCCCACATCTCCCCACATGATTGGGAGGCAGGGCGCCGCAATCTCGCGCATGCAGGAGGGCTATCTCCCCACATCTCCCCACATCTCCCCACATCTCC